AGTTGTGGACTGAAAAGGTTAACGCGACAAAATGTTCAGTATACAGTTAGGTAACTGTTTTCTGACTGTTTGGAACAGTCCGAGCAGAGAACCAGAACAAGCCTATTGACATGTTGAGGTTGGATTTATTCAATCTCTCCGCACACAATTCAATAGCGTAAATTTCCGCTTGAAATACAGTCGTATAAGCTCCTAGGCAGGTAGATATCTCTGTCCTGGGTCTGTGACTAAAAACACCTGCAGCAGAACCGGAAGGTGTTTTTGATCCATCTGTGGACCAACAACTATCTGCTCTTGATATTTCCTTCTCCCGGAGGATACAGTCATCTCTACTCGGGAAATATTCATATTAGATTCATTTAGTTATTTGTACCTATAGACATTCTACTGTCAATCGTTTCCACTTTCAATACTCACCTTATCCCTGTTAATAGAACATCAATATCCTCTTCTTCGGTAAAGTATCCTGATTGGATTATAGGCTTCTCGAAAGGATCGTCAGTTCTTAGCAAAATTTCCCCCTTAGATTTTGGTGAAAGAAGAGTGGGAACAATTTCTAACATTGGATGTTTTTGGTTATACTCAGACTTACTCTTAGCAACGTCCTCATTATAACCCATAGCTTTACTCACTGTTGGTAACAAATACGTATCACCAGGTGGATACAGCAAGTGATGATACTGGATATTGGGGTATATTGAATCGTTTCTTGTATTGACAAATCCCAGCAGATTTGTTAGCGCGATTCCAGCTAAGTCTCCTGATCTGTGCACTAAATATTCGTAAATATTGTCTATGAGATTCAAGTGCTTTTGGGTTTTGATAGCGTTTTGGTCCAATGTCAAAATGACACCTAAAAATACCACATGATCTTGAAGATTCTTTCCCACCGGCAAGTGTTCAATGACATCAATTCCCATCGCTTCTAGATGTTTTTTTGGTCCTACACCAGAAAGCATGAGAAGTTGGGGAGAATTTACGGCACCTGCACATACTATTATTTCCTTCTTCGCGTATAATTTCAATGTTTTACTTCCTATTGCAACCTCAACTCCTTTTGCAATTCTTGATTTTTTATCGATGATAACTTTTTTCACGAAAGATTGAAGCGCTACTAATAGATTGCTCCTTTCTTTAACAGATCCGAGGAATGCTTTCGCTGAATTAGCTCTCATTCCATGCGATATACTATTTACTATGTTCATGTAACCTAAAGGATTCAGGGGATTCTCTTCTGGAATTGTCTGGTAGTTATGCAGTTCTGCTGCTTCTCTTATAGTGTCTGCTATTGGCACTCCTGCGAAAAAAAAAACAGTTCATCTAAAATAACTTTCAAGTATACACGGT